AATCTACAAGTCCATCCTCGCAGTCGTCCACCAAAAATGGTATTCCCACGAAAATTATAATACTAACAGTGGGATTGGTAATAGCATTGATTATATTGGTGACGATTATGAAATCGTGTCTGGATCGTTATTGGAATAAAAGTCGGAAGAATGTTTGTTCGGACAAAAGCCTTTTGGTACCACAATACCAACGACCCAATAATCGTGGCCTAAAGAAATCTAGCGTTTCGAAAGCGAATAGTCGTTTGATGATACCACAGCTCGCTTATTTGGAGGGAGCGCATGAAAAAATATACACCCAGGTGTTAGACGATCGGATGATGGAAATCGACATACAAATATCTAACATGGCCATAGTGCCCAAACCCAAATTGCACGTGGTAAATCCAGATAAATCTGAAGAAAGTATTGAGTCAGTGTAGTTTAAGGGATCTTGATGGGGAGAATATTGAATCAGACATAATGTTTATTAGCTTTTTGCAGACATTTTGTACATACCCACATACGTAACTTATTGTAAACGTGATTTATTTATCAATCGTTAAATTATTATTATTATTAATGATAAAGTTTGACCAAATTTAGGAAGTGTATTATTATGCGTAATTATTAACGGTTGAACTTTTTCGTTTGTACGCACACACTAACTCAACCTTAGATAAAGATGACGAGTGTGAATGTGCTACACCGCTGAATATTAATTGTTACGCTATTACAAGGGCCACCCGATTATAATGGATATCATTTGCTTACCGATGCGCCGCACCAATCCCGGTGAGAATGATGCATTTTTTGAAAGCGAAAAAAGGTGCCGCGACAAGCTCTGGTGAAATCAGATTCAGAGACGATCGTCGATCTTCTAATTGGCGAATTTCTGATCTCTAGGTATTAATAGTGAGATATTCGTATGGAATGGTTTTGACCTTTGACCTTTGTTTCAAATCAAACCAACAACCTCTTCGGAGGTTTGTTATCTTTCTTTACTGATGACCCCTCCGGTAATCTCTGTTTGGGAGAAAATTCACAACCTTTTCGCTCTGACAGCGTCATCAATTATCTTATCTCTTTTAAAATCAAGACAGTAGAAGTTTCCATTTTCCAAACGAAGAGTTTTGTGGACGTAGTATTACTACTCTATACTGTATAAATAGCATCATATTGAAAAAAAAAAAAAATTTTTTTTTTTTTATACTTAAATATTAACTAATTTTGAAAATAAAAATAACATTCATTTGTTGCAGAAAAAAGTTTTGCCATCTTTGTTTTGCGCACCGTCCTCGGTGTAACATCCAATAAGAAATTTTTGATTATCCATCCCACTGTACCTTTGCTTGTGATCGAAGTCACTCATCATCGTGCATACATGCGAGAATAAAATGGATCCTTTTGAAAACAAAGAAGAATGGATCAAGCATATAATTGAATTGAATTTTGATTTATTCGAAGACCTTGAATCTATTTCGACAACAGAATCAAGTAATATCAGAAGGGCTTTCCTGAAAGAACATAATACGAACGTCACCCTTAAATACATGAGGCATGATGCATATAAAAATGATGACAGCTATTACGAGGATTTTATCCGGCAGGCATGCCTTGTTCCCATAAATTTCACACGAATAATAAATATTTTACCGAATTCTGACAATTACAGGTACGAAATTTAGCAAAGTTAAATACGATTGACTCAAATGAAAATATAATTAAATTTATAGGCGTTAGCAGGGGTATCTTTTCTAGTGACGTGTTTTCAAATCATTACTGTTTAAGGGACTTTGACAACTCATCAAATTATACTGTATACATCGTAGATTCATGTCAAAGATTCCACTCTATTGTGCTTCGATGGAGAGGACCTGAGAACTTATTTGCAGGCGAATTTCGAGAGATTGAAGTGGAACTTCAAAATAAAAATGGCACAGGATATTGCTAATGGTTTAAATTATGTGCACAACAAAAACATCGTTCATGGTAATTTAGTAAGCGTTTGTTACTGCATCATTATTACGTATATCAAATTCTTCAAACTAAAAATTCAATGAATCGACGTAATAGAATTCTAGGAATATATTGGCCAGCGATGGTAGATTAATAATTATAGGATTTGGATCATCAATATCTATCGATGATTCCGATAACACAATCACCACTAAATCTCGCGATATTCATGATAAACATCTTGATCCGGAAACGATGGTATACATAGACCCGCGATTTCTTTCGTCTCCTCTAGGTTACAGGAAAGACAAGCAGTCATACATTTACAGCTTCGGTATACTATTATGGGAAATATCGAGTGGGGTACCTCCCTTTAATAACAAACGCGGGTGGGATAACGCGGACTTAAAACGTGAACTTATTTCTGGAATTAAGGAAAGTCCTATAAATGAAACTCCGGTAGATTACGTGGAGCTTTATTGTTGTGCGTGGGACAAGAATCTCGGAAATCGACCGTCCGTTGGAGAAATCAATAATTTTTTGCGGATAATTGATTTCGAACACCTATATCAAGATTCAGATTATACTCCGAAAATTTACCTCGGGAGAAATTTCGATTCCACAAGAAAACAAGAAGCATGTCTAACAGTTGTACAAGGTTCACCGACGAACCAATATTTTTTTCTTAATCAAGTTGAGACATTAATAGGAAGGGACCCTTCAAGTCACATTATCGTGAAGGATCAGGAGATCTCTAGGGTACACGCAAAAATCACGAACTATCAAGGAAAAGTTTTAATCGAAGATCTGGGTTCAATATCCGGAACCTTTGTAAACGAATGTAGGCTTCAGCCACACGAGACACGTGCTTTAGAAAAGGAGGATCTAATTAAGATGGGGAGGGGCATTTTACAATATCTTCCTGCAGGGGAGTATGAAAATCGCTTGGATCCTAAATTACAAATTTACAACGCTCTTTACTTGGAGATGATCTTAAAAGAATTTAATGAAAAGGGAACCAAGTTAAGTTTAATGTTCATTGATGTAGATTATTTCAAAAAAATCAATGACACTAATAATAATCACGAGGCGAGTGATTGTATTTTAAGGGAATTGGTTGACTTTATTAAAACCTACCACATTCGCGCGGAAGATATCTTTGCGCGATTTGGTGGGGACGAATTTATTATTCTTCTTAAGAATATCGGTATTGAATCGGCCTATAGCGTTGCAGAAGAAATACGAGCTTCGGTTGAAGCACATTCATTTGTTCATAAGGAAAAAAGGATAAAGATTACACTTAGCGTTGGTGTCTCAGAAGTAAATTCATTAGTAAAATCCTCTAGACACCTGCGGGATATTGCCGATAAGGCACTATATAAAGCAAAAATTTTGGGTCGAAACCGGGTTTCCATCGGGGAGGATGGAATAAGTTTTTCAGGTACTGTATTTGAACTTCGGTGATGTGAATATATCTTTTTATGAGAACGTAATTTTAGAAGTGAATTCGATTATGATTAAAGGAAATATTTCGCATGAGGAAGAAAGCTTTATGGAACTATCTAAGAAAGGCCTAGGGACACAAAGACCTCTCGTGGCCCTGACCGATCAGCTTAAAACGAGACAACCGAAGAATCTCGAGACCGAAAAGTTAATGTGTTACATCGATCTACGATGTAAATATCGACAAAATGACGAAAAAACCTTCGATTTGCTTGATAAGGTTAACGATTTTCTAAAGGATTCCGGCAAGAAAGTGCTATTGCTTACGGGAGACGCGGGTGCAGGAAAGTCTACGTTCACCCGTAAACTCACACACATCTTATGGAAGAATTATGTGGAGGATGGAGGAAGAATTCCGCTATTCATCTCCTTACCGACCCTGAGGAATCCAGTTTACAATCTTATTCCCGAGTATTTTAAGGATAAAGGAGGATTCTCGGAAGAGGATATTCGAGCCTTTAGAAATAGACGTTTTATATTTATATTAGATGGCTATGATGAGATAAATGAGCGGGACAGGAATCTCTATATGTCCAATGCCCTCTATGATTGGGACGCTCATGTAATAGTGAGTTGCCGCACCGAATATTTAGACATTGGAAATGAGGATAACTTTTGCCCATACGGGTTTGACCGTCAGCCGATTCATAAGGAATTTCAAAAGTTCATAATTGTTCCATTCTCTCGAGATCAAATTGACGCATACATCAAGAAATATGCGGCATCAGAAAATTTAGATGAATGGGATTTCACACGTTATCATAAGGTTATAAATGATATTCCGAATTTACGAGGATTATTAAGCAACCCTTTCATTTTAACAATTGCAGTGAAGAGCTTGCCGGATTTGGTAAGCAAACCTGATAATAAGTTACATTCATTAAGGCTCACACGCTTAAATTTATACAATGCTTTTATGAGTAAATGGTTTAACAAGGCCAAAATACGTTTAGAAGATATTCGCGCGCAGTTATCAGATGACGAGAAGAAAACCTTTGGAAAGTTAATGGAAAAGAAGGGAGGATTTCCGCGCGCGGTACTTAACCATGTTAAGGCTCTTGCAATAAAACTTTACGAGACACAGCAAGTAATGGTAAAGTATTCTGAAGATGACGAGGATCCAGATTGGGAACCTTTTTTTGGTGAGGAGTCCGTGACTCGGCTGTTAAGAAGCGGTTACCCGTTAAAGCGCGTCGAATATGTTATGAATGTGACAAAGAAGGTGGACCATTATAGTTTTTTGCATAAATCTTTACTTGAATATTTTGTCGCCACCGCAATTTATGAAAGCAAATCAACAAAAGATGAAACCACTAGAAACGCCGAGAATCTTTTTATTAAAAGAAATTTTATCGATGATCCCGGCGTGGTGCGCTTTTTAGTTGAGTATGTCCTGCGGGATGAAGAGTCAGTGTTTAAAGATAAGCTTCAAAACTTTATTGAAATGTCCAAGGTAGAAGCAACCTATCAGGTGGCAGCAGCCAATGCAATCACTATTTTAAATAAGGCCAGAGTCGTCTTTAGCGGTCAGGATTTAAATTACATTCGCATTGCAGGGGCTGATTTGAGTTATAGAGTTTTTGATCGGACACAATTCAAAGGTGCAGATTTAAGAAATGTTAATTTCCAAGGGGCGTGGTTACGATGTGCAGATTTCAGCTCGGCCAAGATGTCTGGTGCGCAATTTGGGGAGATGCCTTTTTTAAACCATGGGGGCTTTTGCTTATGTTATTCACCGGATGGACGTTTGCTTATTGTCGGTTGTGATGAAAAAATTCATCTATATGATGTCAGAATGCAAGAGAATATCCGTACGTTAGAAGGGCACACTGATCAGGTTATGAGTGTGTCAATCTCTCCGGATGGCACCCAACTGGCGTCAGGTAGTTCTGATTGGACAGTGCGACTATGGTCACTTAAGGCGTTGGATCAAGAACCACGCGTCCTAGAGGGACATAAGGGTAAGGTTAGAAGTGTGGTG